AGCATCAGCTCCTCACATTAAAGAAGGTGGAACCAGAACATGTCGGTGACTGTTGCTTCTAAATAGCTGAGGTTCATTTTCTACCAGTGAACTGACTCATGGCTGCAGCTCTAGGTCACTGAATGGCTTCATGAGGACGACACAGTGGGTCAGATGCAGCGTGGTCGGACGCAGCGGGGGGATCTGGTTTGGAAGGAGGAGGTTTCCTCCTCCGACAGAAGAGACCTGATTCTGCTCTAGAGACTCAGCCCTGACAAGGCTCTGCTGAGTGCTGGGTGACAGTTTTTCATTTGTTACCCAGCTGGATCATCCTGTGTGTGTGTGTGTGTGTGTGTGTGTGTGTGTGTGTGTGTGTGTGTGTGTGTATACCTTGTGCAGGTACAGATTGACTGTGTGTGTGCCCATGTTTGCCCAGCAGAACGAGTCCACATAAGCAGCCTGCTTCCAGGAGAAGTTAGATGGAGAAAAACAGCCTATCTGAGCACCTGAGAGAAACAGAGCAATATGAGAGTAATGGTCAGTGACAGGTAGAGATGACTTTAATTATTGTAACATGTTAATCTTTAGAGTTTATCTTAGATTAAGTTAGTTTTCTCCAGTCAATCTGGCTTTTCTTAGCCTCTACCATGGAACAGCTCTAGACCGAAGCCAGACATGACCTGGTCTTTGTGATCTTGACTCCAGCCACAGCTTTGTATCGCCACTAACCAAATGAAACCTCTTGAGCGAAGGCCAGTGAGATGAGGAGGAGGGGCAGGCCCACTGCCACACAGGTCACGAGTTTGTCCACCGCCAGCTCGGTCCGGATGCTGTGGTATCGAGCCTTGTTCTGCTCCTTCAGCAGAAAATCGCTGAACACGTACTCTGTAGCCACGGTGGCGATGGCCATCTCGCCGCTCTGCTATTACCTGCAGCGCATAAAGAACAACCCCTGATGACATGTGAAAGTCAGAAACACGTGTCATCAGAGAACACAGATATGCACCTCCACACTGCCTGAAGCTCTGTTTACCCTTTTACCAGGCAAATGTCTTTGGTAGAACGCAAAGCAAGTTGTCAGGTAAACAGAGCGCGTCATGTGTCAGAGGCTGGGAAAGTACAGTCGACCATCCCAGACAGTTTAACAGTCTGGTGGATGGTTACTGTCCCAACTCGCTTCGTCTGCTTCCCAGTTGAATGAAGCAGTATTTTGATGGTAACCGCATGATGTTCACAAATTTTATTTATCTACCATTTGTCGTATCCGAGTCATAGGGTTCCATGTATATACAAACGAGGCCAGAAGTTGGCATCGCCCCACAGTTTTCTCTAAAGCAAGTTGAAACTGACTCTTTATTCCATATTTAATAAATCACACATGTTTTAGATTTTCAAAGCAACCTGGCTACAGCTCAGGAGGTGGAGCGGGTCATCCACTCACTGTGGGGTTGGCACTTCGATCCTCTACTCTTCAAGACACTGACACTGGCCAGGCCTTGCACCGGTGTGAGTGTGAATGGGTGAAAAATAGGCAAAAACTGTAAAGCTGTTTGTCCGTTAAAGCAGAAGTGCAGTCCGTTTACCTTTTACCAGTACAACAAATGAAACGTACCTGGACAAAAATGTTAACCTAATATTTAGTGGCACATTCTTTTGGAGTCATCACTGGAAACGAGCTCTCTGTGAGAGAGAGAAGTGCCCTAATATTTAGTGGCACATTCTTTTGGGGTCATTACTGGAAACAAGCTCTCTGTGAGAGAGAGAAGTATGGGCTCGTTCTCCTGTTGGAGAACAACAAGCTGATTTGACTGTGTCCTGCACAGATTCAAGACACAGAAAAACTAAGCCTCCTCCATGTTTCACAGTGGGGATGCTGCTCTTCTCTTTGAGAGCTTCATTTCTGTGAACAAAGAGCTGACTGACCACACTGCTTCATTTTGTTTGATCTGTTCACAGGACAGTCTCCCAGAAGCAGCAGCTGAGTTAACATGTACTGTACACCATGCAAACTCCACTCAGTTTTAGTGTTTCTCTTTCCAAAGTGGGCTCTTTTTCCACGGAGGCACTTTCATCTAGAAAGCCACATCTGCTGCGACTGGACACTGCCAGACCCGGACCATGGAGCTCAGCTTGTATCTGTTTTTCCACAGTTTGAATTGTTCTTCTGTTCAGTCTTGGCTGTTTTCCTCTTATGGCCACGTCCACAATGTCGGCTACACTCCCACCGACCTTAAACTTGTAATATGACCAGCTGGGTTCACAGGAACATTCAGATGCTGGGAGATGCTCTGTAGCCTTTACCAAAACTGTTTTTCTTCCTGATCTCCCCACAACTCTCTTCTTTCACTTGTCCGTGTTCAGTGTGGTGCACACAGTGATACGATCCTTGTAAAAGATGCAACAATTCAGCTCATTTCACAGCTTCCTTGTTTTATTCTGACAAACCACAGACTGCAGGTTTGCATGACAAACATTTCACCGCTTTTTAAGAAGAATGTCACATTTTATGTAGGGACTTGTGACCTGTCACAATGATATTTTTCAGGTGACCTACCTCTTTCATTTGTTTTTACAAATTACATTGAGGCTGTTCAGAAACTTAACACACAGGTTATCCTCTCACCAGACATTTTGATTTGATTTGATTTATTTATTCTTTCAAGCATATAAAACAGCTGATATAACAACACACATTTTTACACACAATCCAATATCAATTGGATAATGTTTGACTTGATATAAATAATTTTGATACATATATCTTCAAATCTGTTTTAATAACCTTATTTCTCTTCTAAGATGTGAAGCTGTAATCTTGCTTTATGTAATCTTGTAAATGATTTGCACATTCACAACTGTAATATAAAGTGATTCAAACAACTGTGGACAATGAACCTTCCTGAAGATGGTTTGCCTTGTTTGATGGTGAGCTGTGAATTACCATTTAGCCGCCATTTTACTGGTTAATACAACTGGGGCTGCTTTGCCTTCAGGATTATAGAAAATAGCTACTTATAAAACCAAAACCGAAAAACCAATTCGTGACAACATTAACAGGCTCCTTTGTTTAACCAGAGCAGAATTTCTGCATCGTATGGCGCATTTGTTAGTTATTACTATCATATAATCCTCTTGTTATTTAAACAAAATACTCTTTAATTTGAGTTTCATTTTGAGTGCATTGTTTACCCACCATGTGCCATCACTATGAACGTCCTCAGGAAATTTATGTAAAGTATAAAGAGACTTTGTCATAGCTTTTAATTCAAGTTTGCTTTACTCAAAGGTTATTTAGTAACTTAACGTTAACACGGACCGATTTTTACTGTCGCTAATTCACCTGTAATAAATTTCTCTCATCATAATTTCTTGCGATACAGATCATGAACGTGAACTTACCGGCTCCCGTTAAATGACATTTACCAACTGAACCGACATTCCTGTGATTAAAGGTGACTTTGAGGTGTTTTCCAGGCCAGGACCTAAACGATGTGGTTGACTAAACCTGCAACGCACGGACACAACATTGAATCAACTTTAGCAAAGGCTCTTCTTCGTCTAACGCAGAAAACCACTTCCGTACTTCTTAAAAGCAGATGCCTTCAAGTGCAAATGGACAGCTCCGAATTTCCAGCACTAATGACGCCTTCAAATGCAGTTCGTGAGTTTGTTTATTATGTTTGTGTATTATGCCTACCCATGGAAGATACTTTTGTTTTAGTCATTTCCCATCGCTGAACATGACGTTGGAAGGCAGAAATGACAAAATCAGGAAATCAATATTTTTGAAAAAATAAAATGCTACAGAAACAACCTTTTCCCAGTTTTATATCAGCTGCATAAAAACTGTGCATTTAAGATTAAATCCATGCTAATCCATGGATGGATTATTAAATGAATGAAAGATTTAGAGGCCCCTAAGCCTGTATTAAAGTCAGTCAAATGACTTGAAAAGGACACAAAACAACCACAAAGAGACAGAAAATGACAACAATTACATAAAGTAGCCTAATTGTAAAAAAGGCTAAATAAAACTAACTTAAAACAATTACAAAGAGTCATAAAAATGTTTAAAAAACATAAAAAATGACAAAAAAAGACACAAAATAGCCCAAAAAGATGCTAAATAATCACATACACTGAAATAACTACAATAAGATGGATTTGGCTCAGGAGATAGCACACTCACCGTCTCACAGGAACGTTGCTGGTTCAGTTCTTGGTCTCCACATGTCAGTGTCACTGGGCAAGACACTGAACATCAAGTTGCTCCAGCTGTTCGGACAGCACTCCCATCAGTGAGAAATTTCCCCACTTAGGGCTAATAAAGTAATTTTTTAAAAATGACAAGTAGAGAAAATAGCTACTGCAGTGTTGTTTATTTCTCTTTCAGTCTGTGGCTCTTGTTGTATGAGGAGGTGGGGGGCTTTTACATGTCCATACCCAGAAGTCCATTGTCTCATGATCCATCTAGCAAGGTAGAATATTATGGAATTGCCAAAATATAAGAATGCAAAGAAACGTCTCAGTGCAAACCATCCAACTGCAAAAGTATTGTTACAAATTATGACAAAATGCTACAATGTGAAATTCAAAGAAATTGGATTTGCAATCAAAATTACAGTCTCCATATAACTAATGACTGTTATTTTGGTTTGTATTTCTTCATTTTTTCATGTAGGAAGTGTTACTGTCTGAATGCCCAGCTCTGTGGTCACGTCCCAGTGTGCTGGAAAATTTGAAGTGGATTTCTTTACATTTTAGCTGTTTGTTATTTTATGTTGTGATAGGGTAATAGTTTTTGGTTGCAGGGTGTGTGATTTCACAGTTGTGTCCTTTTTTTATTTGGACAAAATTAACCCTATACTATATGTTTGGCAGTGAACTTGATGCTATTCTACTATTCTGCACCAAACAGAACAGCTGTAAGAATGCCTCAGTTCAGAGATAATCAGCTTTAAGTCAGCAAAAATGTAGTAAACAGTCACTGGTTTGTGACTGGGACCAGTATCCATTCTGGTTCCAGTAGTGATGCAGTTGTAATATTCAGGTTATAGACCTAGTATTAAGTGCTTCGTAGTGGGTTGGGGTTTTTATCAGGCTTCCTATTAAGTCAAAATCACATAAGTGGTTAACTGATTAGTTTTATTTGGTTAATCTTTGTGGTAAAAGGCGAGTAGTGAGAGAAGTGAGAAAATTGGGATTTCCCCCCCACTTCTCATTGTGAGATTAGGCATTTCCAACAGTCCCTAAAGGCAGCATCATTCTGTGCAGCGTGACGAACTACGCAGTATGCAGCAGTACTCGACTAGAGAAAAATCTGACGGATACTTCATATATTAAAATAAAGAAGCTATACTTAAAACTAAAGTGTAAAAACAAATCATGAGAAATAAAATAGCGATGTTTGTGTGGATCCGACGTTGACACCCTACGTTAGGTGTCTGATTTTAGTGGAAGTCTGATGGCAGTGATTACAGTTTTATTTTGCAAATTTTTGAAGAGTAAAGCCCAGAACCATTTTGAGCTGTTGTTGATGTTGGTCTTTCGCGATGAATTCTGGGCATTTCTCGCTCTGCCCTCCCTGGTCCTCCCAACTTCTCCCAGCTAAGTCAAGCTGATGTGAAACACACACACTGGTACCGGAAGTGGAATCATTTATGTCAAAAACAAGTGTTTAAAATGTGCATCTGAGAAAAACCACAAAGGAAATTATCAACATTACACTGTTTAATAGATAGAGTACAGGATTGGGAAAGTGGAACTAGACTTAGTCATCTAGAATTTAGTGCAAACATTTTAGGTGTTTTATTTGTTTAGATTCTTATCCATCACTCTATTGTGCAGCAAAAAGCCCATGCATCCAGCCAGACCAATAAAGGAACCAATCAACCACCCTGGTGTTCCTGTGAACAATTAAATAAATAAATAAAACGTTTTAATTTCTTTAAATAAATACTGCACAAGTACCCTCTAATGAGCTTGCTCAGTACAAACCGGGGTACAACAGCTGTCAAGTGACCTTAAAAGCAAACAAGCAAAATTTTACTTATATTGCACTTTTCAAAACAACATGTTACAAAGTTCTTCACAGTAACAACAACAACAAATGATTTTAATTATTAAAAACACTCTGGGGTTGATACTTTCAGTAGGTATGAGAACTATTGAGGCGAGGCTTGCGGTTGAGTCTCACTGATTGGTCAGATACAACACAACATCTCACACATGGTATTCCTAACACCCACTGTTGACTGTCATGCTTTTACGTCAGCAGCTTTGGCCCTGCTGTGGAAATCCAAATCACAAGGCATTCAAAGGACTTCTACTGCAGCTAAGGTTCTTGGACTTTAGTTCCTGGGAACAGAAAGTACCAGGGATTTTTTCAGTGGAAATGCACTTTAAGGTGGCACTGTAGTAGAACAAACATGACAAAGTGCCCTCTAAGTTGTCCACACAAAGAAGAAAACATGCCAAAGTTTTGTAATGGGTGTCTTGTTATGGGTAAATCAGAAAGGGCCCTAGAGTACCTCTATATGTTGCTGTTCTCTACTGATGGGGACCCAGTGGATGTATCAGCTGCTCTTTCTTTCTTTGCCCCTGCTCCTGAGACACCCTGAGTCCGACGCTGGCTGACACTTTGCATGAAATGATGATTTAAAAATATGAATTACATTATTTATATATTAAAAACATGATCACTTAGCTTTTAGTTCTTGAAACTGTTGCACAGTACTGTAGATCCTTATCTCTTGGTTTTTGTCGATGAGCCCAGAGCTCACGCTCCAAAAGATTTTGAAAGATTTCCCGGAAGCTGATTGGTGTCGTGCCGTGCAACTTCACACCGGCAGATGCTTCGCTCGCTCCATTCATTACATTCGTGAACAGTCGCATCCAAGCAACGAGCCCTCCCCTCCTGTTTCTCTCCGCCTGGAAAGATGGCTGCTCCGGCGGTGGTGAGAAGCTCCGGCCCGGTGCTTTGCCCAAGCTTCGCGGAGGTCTGTTCGTTCCTGGAGCGATACGGAGCGGCGCTAGACCTGCCGGAGATGACTTTCCCGCAAATGGAGAGGTATCTGCGGGACACAACGACAGGTGAGACTGGTAGTAGTGGTGGGGGCAAGATGTGGTGGAAAGCTGCGACACTTGAAACCGAAGGAGAGGGGGGCACCACCACCACCACCACCACCACCATCATCATTTTCGTGATGGTGATGATGACGGAAAATGTGTGTGCGTGTGTGTCCCGGCAGAGCAGCATCAGATTGGTGGTTTCGTCACCTCTTTCTTACCGGCCGGTTGTGGCTAATTTTGACCCGGGGCAGACTCAGTTTTTCCTTGAAAGACGGCCTCTGTTTTGTCCCACTTTCTAAAGAAACACTTGAACGTAAGCTGCTAACATTGAGCTAACCCCACTCCAAATTTCACCCACTTTGGACTATGTTGTGTTTGTGCTAAAGTTGGGGGTGGCGGATACAGACGGGGGTACAACATTTGACACAATAGTCTGATGTGTTTTAGTTAAAATCAAGTGACAAGCCGTCGATAAAGTTGACAAGGTTGATGTTGATCTGTTTTCGCTAAACTTGGCTTGGGAGCCATGATGCAGCACCGCCGAGTGACCACACTCGCACAACCAGCTAGCTCCGGAGTGTTGTCAGGTGTAATTTTTCACCGGCCTTGCCTCACAGGCACTCGAACACCAGTGTCTCGTGTGTTTATGTGTTGATCATGTGCTTTCGGCAATGATATTTCCTCAGTTTGACGCGTATTTCAGCGTGGTGTCAAATCCGACAGAGTGATGTTAGACACCGTGGATGTTATTTATTTTTTTGCCATTGGGAGAGTGGCTGTCTAATTTGCACATGCGCAGTAGGGACTCTGGATACAGGCTAGCTAGTTAGCATCAAGCATTCCGTCAACTTAGTAAAAGTGCATCTTTGGTGCACCTAGAGATAATTTACCACTTTAATGTTTGTCACGAAGAGACGTTTTGGACTAGTAGTTGTCGTGTTATTAGCTTTGCAAACCGTGTCAGCCAGTTTTGCTACCCAGGTTTCAGTTACCGTTAGTTCTGTAGTTTAAAGCGTCTATTGCCGCAAATGGGTTTAAATATAACATGTAATATTTGAACTGTAGGTATATGTGATATTTCGTTGGCATGTCAGGCATGCTTAACGGTTCTGTGCGAGTTGGGAGTTTGAGTTTTAATGTTGTAAAGACGTACCGAACCAGCAGAGAAAACTGGAATTTCCCGTACATTCAGGGGTTCCATAAAGGTCTCACATGAGGCCACACATAGTGATTTTTGTTCCCAGGCTGTTTGTAGCCCATAAAGGTCTCACATGAGGCCACACACAGGCTGTTTGGAGTTATTGGTGAACTTACAAAACGAGATTTTATTTTTATGTTTCTATTTTGAAATCAGAGTAGACAGTCATATCGTGACAACAAGACATATGTAACAAACTAGGGCTGCAGCTAACAACTATTTTCATCTTTATTTTCTTGATGAATCTATTTATCATTCAGTCTAGAAAATGTAAAAAGCACTCAATTCCCTGCAATGCATGTGGTGCTTGTTTTGACCAATCAATTGTCTAAAAACCAAAGATATTCAGTTTTTGAACATATAGGACAAAGAAAAGCAGTAAATGCATTCATTTGAAAGGCCAGGACCAGAAAATGTTTGGCTTTTTTGGAAATAAGAAAATAAAAAAGTGGTTGAATGTTTTCCTGAAAATGAAGCATTATCTGTGAGCTCACAGGTACCCAGGGAGTAGCTGGCACCCAATTTTCAGAACCGTTGACATAACAAAACAGCTATTTACCCAGCAGTGACTGAGCAGTATAAAATATTCATATGCTAGCACACCACCAGCTTTGTTCACAATACGTCCAGTGCAGAAAACTAAAAAACCTGTGTCTAGGGTTCTTCTGTTCATCTAGATGTATTTAAATCACATTGGTAAATTTGCTGCTAACACCCCAAAAATGACAGAACTACATGTCATACACATGATTTCCTTCACATTAGATGCAGTTTTCCTTTTAATTTGTTCAGCAGCGTTTAAAATGCTTAAAGACATTGCTGTCAGTTGTTTATCTATTGTTACAGGCCTGTTTTTCATGGTGAATTAATCAACACTTGTAAACAAAGTGTTAAAATACATTTTGAACTCTAAGTTTTATTTATATTGTTGTCATGGACATGGTTGGTTATTCTCACTGAAAATCCCCTAATAGAGCAGTCGTAACACTTTAAAACACGTAAAACTTCAGTGTTGTCCTATGTTTTGTGATATGACTGGACTCCAAATGAGTCTCCTAAAAACAGGCTTCAAGTTAAGGGTCAGTTTAAGGACACTTTAGCAGGACTTGACTCATAAAAGAAGAGACAGTCTGGTTTCTAATCACCCTGTGTGTCTTCTAGTTCCTAAACCTCTTGTGGAACTCCACGTGAAGCTGCTCAGAAAACTGGGGAGGACTGTGTCTTCTGACCGCTGGGAAAAATACCTGGCCAAGGTGAGGGCTATATATGTATGCATGTTTGTGGTGTGGAGTGACAACTCAGAACCCCCCACTTCTTTTAGACTCTTATGTCTGTTGTAGTCAACAGACAGAGAAATGCTGAGTGAGGAGAAGACATTACAGGAGATTAAACCAGATACATCAGTGTTGAGACAAACTTACATGCAGTGACTAATTACTGTTACCTGTAGGTTTGCCAGGAGTTGAACAATACCTGGGCGTGGGAGCTGGAACACAAGGGCTACCAGGAGATGTCCATGGAGTGCAAGTCTAGCATTCTAAAAGTAAGAGGCACTCTGTTTTTACTTGGTGTTGGTGTAACTGTAACTGATGCATCCAGAAGGTTAAAACATCTGCATTCAGTAACCTCTTCATCTGCTTTCCCCCGTTGATTACCTTCTGCTCCTCTTTCCACACATTTCTTTTGTTCAGTATCTCTGTGAGTGTCAGTTTGACGACAACCTGAAGTTCAAGATGGCAATCAACGAGGAAGACCCAGAGAAGATGCGTCTGCAGCCTATAGGTCGTGATCAGCAGGGCCTGATGTACTGGCTTCAGCTGGACCAGGAGCAGAACATCCGGCTGTACACAGAGGAGCAGGACGACTTGGATGGATCCACCTGGAAGTGCATAGTCAGGTACTTCTGATGTCTCAGTCTGGTCAGTATAGTGTCATAGTGTGTTAACAGGTCTCCCCAGTGTCTCGGGCTGCAGTCACATCTATTGTTATTGTTTTCTCTGCTCATAAAATTATAGTTTTTTCATTAGTGAAGTTTTGTTTCTGAATTTTGCTTGGTACGGCCACATTGCACATTTTTACATACCAGTCTTGGTTTACAGTTACATTGGATTACGTTTTTTACATTGGTTTATGGTTAGCGTAAAGTTACGCTACCTGATTTCTTTTCAGCGCAGAGGCTCTAGTGACACTCAGAACAAACTGACACCCTCAGCCCCTCCTAACTGCTCTTTGCCCGTCCCACCATGTCCTGTTTCCTAAAGCTACAATGTGAACAAGAGATGCCTGTTTGTGACAAACTGTACAAAACGCAGCCTCCAGTCTGAAGCTAGCGTTAGCTGGCTAACAGTAAATGTGTCAGTCCATTACTTCCAAATTATAATCATATTAATTCAAATACAAATACGAAGGAAAACTCATGACCATGCTAGGTCGCTAATGTTACCAAAATGTTATGCTTTTGGCATATTTTTATATTCTATATTTTTGGAGAGGCAAACGGGAAAGGAGGGAGACACAGAGAGGCCTGCAATAAATGTCAGCGGCTGGACTCAAACCGCAGACATCAGGCACGCACTGTGCGTGGTGTGTCACTCCGTAACCATTTGGCTACTGGGGCACCCAAACACATTAGCTTTAGATGCTAACACATCCAGAACGAAAAACACCAAATCTCAGTCCTCTGGCTGCTTTTAACCCTCTCCATGTCAAACAGCCAAACCCATGTTAACCCTGGTTGTTGCTCTTTCTTTGTCCCACTCTCTCTGTGCTAAAGACGCCACCTCTTCACTCTGGCAGCCGCTGGTTCAGACTTTTAGCCGCCCAGAGCTCCTCCATGGCTGTTTGACATGACTACTGGCTGGAAAAACCCTTCTTCTAACCTTGGCTAGGGGGCAGGCGGGGCTGATTTACAGACCGTACTTTGACAACACAGGGCGGCTGTAGGCAGCAGAGGGTCATGGAGGGGGGTGTGTAGCTGGGAGACACCAGGTCCTGTCCACTGTCACTGGGGTCATCAGACTGTAGGGGAAGGTCTCAGTTAATGCACTCTTACAGTAGTTTATTGACATTTTTCTTCAGAAAAATATTTGTCCCTGTCAGATAATTGGCTGCAGTATCTTATCACCCCTCTCTGTTCACAGTCTGCTGTCTTGATGTTTCATATCTTGTTTGAGCCACTTATCCAGATCTTCTTCTTAGGACTCGTAATGACCTGGCTGAAGCTCTGGAGCTGCTGAAGGCCCAGATTGATCCAAGCCACAATCACAGTCAGGACCAAGACCAGAACCAGACTGGACCCAGGAGTGTCAGCCCCACGGAGAAGGATGCAGGTATGATGAGCAAACAGGTCTTGCATTGGATCATAGGGTTTATACTATAGATGGAATTACCATTAGTGGATTGATGACTTATGAAGCCATGATGTTATAATTTCACCTTTTTGGCAGGAAATATTTCAGTATTCATCTTCTGTCAGTCGAAGCATGTTGAAGTTATGACTATGGAAAATGCAAGCAAATCTTCAGGTTAATAAAAGTGTCCGAATAACTTCCAAAAAAGACAAAAACTGACTGAAAACATCTTATGGAGAATAATCTACATTAGCTAATTAAAAGTTAAGATGTTTTTCTGAGAGCTACAGCCCAAAACAAACCAAGTAATCTTACAAAAAGAGGACTCTAAGATAAAATAATCTAATAATCTGAAGTGAAACAATGAAGAAATCTGTTTTCACACAGTGTTTTCTCTACTGTCTCAGTGAGAATTGTTTGAATGGACTGATTTTAATATGTGGGGTGAACTTTTAATCCACAGACTTTTCCACCATAAGACTGTTCTTTGTTTTTGTGTTTGTGATGACACAGGGGATGAGGCTGTAGGGAGCACCGACCACAAACCCTCCAGGACCACACAGGACCGCACTCATAGTAAGAAGCCTGACCCTGTAAAGGAAGAGAAACCCCTAAAACAAGGTGCCCAGATTAAGGAACATCTGAGACTAAATGTTTTTCAGTATATCTGTAAATCAACTTCAAAACATACATAGACAGGATCTGATAGATCTGATCATGCTTCACATAAAGTGTAGAGTAGAGAAGTGAAGCAAGAGGGAGAGTGGGATGACTAGCACCTCAGGTCCCTAACTGGACTGTACAAATACAGTTTTACATGGTTAGTGTCACGAGGACCCCCTACAGCTTCACTTCTCTCGCTGAACAAGAGGGACAAGAACTGGCCACTTTCAGCTTCTTCTCAGTGTGATGCAGATGTTTTGATGCGCTGTCCTTTTTTGCTTTTTCTAGGAGTGTAATTGTTTTGTCTTTTTTTCTTCTGCAGTGGTAAAGCAGGAGCAGACACAGCCTGTCAAGCAGGAAAACACTGCAGAGGAGAAAGAAGAAAAGATGGACCACAAACCGCCTGGTTTTGATAACCGTGTGAGCACGATCACTACCATCATCAAATCAGAATCCAGGGATGCTGACACTCCCAAAAATGCAGTGCCCATCGTCATGACACCAGGTGCGACTGTGACAAAACAGGAAATGAACAGAGAAGAGGAAGCAGAGCGGGCAGTTGTCAGGAGCAACCAGCAGGCCAAGATACCACTGAAGAAGAGGGAGCTTAAGCTTGCTGAGAGCTACCACAGCAATCACCTCAACAACAACAGCAGTAGTATTATTGTTTGTAACCCGTCAGTAATCCATAGCAAGGACAGTCATGGAAAAGAGGAGAGGAACGCAACCCTGTCAACGCCCCCTGGTGGTCCATCTGCTTCTCAGCAGCAGCTGGTGGTTTCTGCTTCGAAGCAAGAATTGACTAATGGGAGAGCATCTCTCTTTCTACCACATAAGGAGGGACAAAATGGAGTGATAGGGGTCATAGGTCAGCTGTCTGTTGTAGGTCATGTTGGGGTTATCCGGAGCCCTTCTGAACATCACCGAGTCCCCGGTGCTGAGCAGCAGGAGCAAAATGGGCCAAGTTTAGACCATCAGGGCTCCAGAGCTACAGAGGAAGAGGGGGAGGTGAGCCGGCAATCAGTGCTGGTAAGGAAGGGACCCGTCGAAGGGGTGATGGCAGCGGCACCTGCCGCTCCTCCTCCTCATGCACTGATGGAAGCTCAGACAGCCAGAGAGCCACCACTGTCATCTCTACAGTCTGAGCTCCCTGAAGCTGTAGAGACAGAACCAGATTCTCTTGGTGTTTCTCTGCTGTCTCAGTCCACACAAGAGCCCAGGAGACAGACAGAGCAAGACCGGGGTAGAAAAACAACAGAGGGACAGTTAGACCGAGACACTGAGCACAGTGGTCACCAGCAGAAGGATGGCGACCTGGACGAGAGAGAAGAGAGGAGGAGAGAATTGTCTGTGTGCCCTGTGGCAGAGGAAGGAAGTAAAGGTGATGATGAAAAGAATAAAATCCCTTTAGGAAAGGTGGAGGCAGAGTCGGGGAGCACCATTCCACCTCTAAAAATAGACCAGACGGATAAAAAAGACCACTGGGGAGATGGAGTCAATGGCAGGTTGGCATCCCAGGTTAGGGTGAAGGACACCGGTCCTGGATCAGAGGAGAGGAAGGGTCACCTGGAGGAAGCCTCCTCTGAGCTCCAGAAAGAAGGAATCAGGTTGAAAATAAAAATTCCTCCCCATCGGAGAAACAAGTTAAGGGCAAAAGGGCCAAAGGAGGAGGAGAAAGAGAGGGAGCAGGATGTGCAGGAGGAAGGGAGGCCACTGAGGAGATCTGCAAGGATCTGCAGGTATGTGTGTAAGAAAATTCATGAAGGGGGGGGGGATCAGAGACTAAAGCTTAAATCTGTCTTTGTCCATTATATTCACAGGCTCAGGTGGTTTGACTCTGAGCACTAATTCACTCACATCTGAATCCTTTTTTTACCTGAAGACCTTCTGCTTTGCCAACCCGCAGGCCGAGCTCAAAGGCGGCTGAGAGCCAGAGAAAGAAACCACAAAAAAAACAAGCTCTGGCTACTAGAACCAGGGAGGACGATGAAGAGGAGGAGGAAGAAGAGGAAGAAGATGAAGTGGAGCAGAGCTCTTCTACAAAGAAAGACAGAAAACCAGAATCTGTTGGGCAAATTAGGAAACGAAGGGTATTCATTTTCTAAATGTGTCCTGTGCAAATGAACTCAGGTTTTGTTTTGTGTTTTTTTACTGTTACTCTTCTCTGTTGCATGTTCAGGGTAAACGGAGGGATCGACGCCCACGATGGTCTAATGTTCGTTCGAAGAGACGCAAACTGAATGAGAGAGGAGAGGTGGATGACAGAGCGAGGAAACGAGAAGAGGAGAGTGAAAGAGGGAGCGAATCCGAAGAATCATTTAAATCAGAGGAGATTCCCAGTGAGGATGCCTGCACCCACTGTGGCCTCCCCAACCACCCCGAACTGGTGAGAGAGGACCATGTGTGGCTGTGTTGTATTAAACCCAGACAAAGTATCTGCACACATAACATCTGGCATCTCTTCAGCCGTCTGGGGTAGCCACTACAGCTAACTGCAGAGGAATATACGTCCAGGGCAGCTTGCTGGCTGACCTGATCAGTCGGTCATATCCTTCTGTTTGTTTCCATGCGTGAGGCCCTGGACCAGCTGTGATGGCCGCCCCAGGCGGCCGTCTTGTGTCTGCTTTCCTTGGAGTCAGAGATAATCATGCAAAATGATTAGATTGAAATCATGTTTATTCTGAGGACTCTCTGAGACTAACGCTGTTTGACTGCTGTTTAATGTGAGTCCTCGTTTCCCTTAAACTCTTCAATTGAGTTATTTATAACAAATTAGCATTAGCTATAAACTCGCTATACCCACTGTGAGGGCAAATACAGCAGGTTACAAAAAACTGAAGTTGTCCGTTAAAGAGTTGGTTGTTTGTATGTATTTAATGTAATTAGGGTTTTGTCACAGCTGGTGCTGTGAATGCAGAGTTGTCACTATGAGTATCTCTGAGTTATTTCACTATATACAGTATATATGTTTGTCGGTGTGTTCCTAGATCCTGCTGTGTGACTCCTGCGACAGCGGATACCACACTGCCTGTCTGCGGCCGCCACTCATGTTGATTCCAGATGGAGAGTGGTTCTGTCCGCCCTGCCAACATGTAAGCTGCGTGCGTGTGAGATAGAGAGACAGACTCTTACTGTAGGCATGCACAAAGTTTCATTCTTATCGTTCTGATCCTTCTGTTTGCTCAGTAATGTCTGAAAGCAGCAGGTGGTTTCAAAAAAGGTTCATTGTGAGTTTGTTTTCATGTTGATAGTAAAGCTGGTGGTAATGTTTTCAATGTTAGTGACAGTACACAAACACAAACTGAGCTCCAGTATTGATCCAAAACTTTACTGCACTACTTACTACTAAACATACACCTAAATATCCAAGGGTACTCAGATGTTTCATGTCCAAGCTTTGATATGCAGATGGTGACAAATGAAGGAAAAACCTGAAAAAAATCCAACCAGCAGGGTCATTGATCAATCAGCTGATCACTGTCCTGATGAGCTGATTGATCAGTTTGTCCCCAGAATGTCAGACACTGGGAAAAAGTCCCACTGTGACTCTCCAGAGCCAAAGGTGGCGTCTCCACACGTCTCATTGTGTCCAACCAACAGATCCACAGAGACTCAGCTGATTCTCATGTCTGACAAAGAAAAGCATCAGCTCCTCACATTAAAGAAGGTGGAACCAGAACATGTCGGTGACTGTTGCTTCTAAATAGCTGAGGTTCATTTTCTACCAGTGAACTGACTCATGGCTGCAGCTCTAGGTCACTGAATGGCTTCATGAGGACGACACCATGGGTCAGACACAGTGAGGGGATCTGGTTTGGAAGGAGGAGCTTTCCTCCTCCGACAGAGGAGACCTGACAAGGCTCTGGAGACTCGCCCCTATCGAGGCCAAGCTGTGTGATAGTGTGTCCTTTCACGTGTCACCCAGCTGTAGATCAGGATAGCCCTCCTTAATAAGCAACACGGGGCGTTTTGAGAGGTTTGACAGTGACAGATCTGTGGTGCTTTCCTCTCTTCAGAAGCTGCTGTGTGAGAAACTGGAGGAGCAGCTGCAGAATCTGGACAGTGCTCTGAAGAAGAAAGAGAGAGCAGAGAGGAGGTACTGAAACACACACTATGATCCACTCTCTTTGAAAGCTGAAATTCTGAATGATGTGGATCACTGTCTGTCCTCTCCCTGTCTCTCCAGGAGGGAGCGGCTGGTGTACGTGGGAATCAGTGTGGAGAACATCATCCCTGTGAGTAAACCACAAATCTCATGAGTGTGTCTGACTGAAGCCTTTTTTCCATTGTACCACATCAGTGTTAACACACAGCTTAATAATTATCCCTGTCAGTACCATACGTCAGAATATCGTTACAGCCGTTAGGAGGGCGCTCACTGTCACAGTGACCACAAGGGAAGCGGCAAGTGACATTTGGCAAAGCAGGCCTCGCAGCTTTCTGAGCTGCAGCCATGAAAAGCACCGACTCTGGTTTTATGCAACATAAACACAACATAAAAGTGCACGAAACAAACAGATTGGACAATCTTATGAGACCGACTTAAACCAAGGGTGGCCATGTGTCTGACCTAAAGATTCATTAACATTAAATGTATTGTCTTAACTGTCTCAGGAGGGAGAGGAGGAGGAGGAGGAGCAGGAGAAGTCGACAAAGATGAAAGATTCCAAAAAGAGCAAAAACCTGGGGAGGAGATCGACCAGGACCCGGAAACGCATCAGCTACAGGTGGGTGTGGCCTGGTTAAAGGTAGTGTGTGTCAACAGACAGGTAAGTTAAACTCACTGTGTAGTCTGTTGTTCATACGTAGCATCGATTGTTGGTGTCAGTAAAAATATTCACCAAACATTTGCTGGTTCCAGATTCTCCAGTGTGTTGTTTTGCACCGTTGGTCAGACAAAACTGGACATGTGAAGACGTCACCTTCGCCTCTGAAGGAACCGTGACGGGCATTTTTCATTATTTTCAGACATTATTTTTAGAGCCAAAAAGAACCGACCAGAAAATGATTAACAGATTAATCAGCATTGAAAAGAATCGTTAGCTGCAGCCCTGAGGTTCTCATTAGCTAGAAGACGTCTTCTTTCTGCTTGTGTTTCGCTGGCACCAACAGTTCATAGATGGAAATGTAGCAACTTTAGGTTTCTGTTTGAAGTTTACAAAAAGTCTTTCAATGAACATAAAGTCTTAGACGGAGGCTATCGACGTGTTTTGTGTGTGTGTGTTACAGGTTTGATGACTTTGACGATGCCATTGATGAAGCTATCGAGGAGGACATCGGGGACCTCTGTGGTGGTGAGTGGAGGCTGACTTCATGCTGCTGATGGACAGCATTATACATACATTTATTTTTACCTGTAGACCACAGATTGAAAGCAGATTTGCAAGACTTGAACCTTTGATCCTCATTTTATGGTGTTTATATCTGAACATGGGCTAAACCGCACGTTCCCGAGGTCCCTTCTTTGGAAAATCTGCAGCTCTGCTACGAAGCAACAATGTTAGCTGTGGCATGGATTGAATCTATTTTAAAAGGACAGCTGTAGAGAATAAATAGAAATATTTAACTTGTCATTATAATAAAGTAAATCCTAATGCAGTAAATCAATTATACGAACACAATATCAGTTCTTTAATCCATTGTCCACAACAGCAGGCAGCTGGAGTCAGCAGGACAGGCTGAACAACATGATCTGTCATTGTGCAGCCAGGTAGCTGCGCTCAGTCATTCAGGGCGTCTAGTCTTAAATGAACTTGACCTAAAGTTGCACTAAGCACTTTGTCACGAGCTGTGATACAGGAAACAAGTACGAGTTTTACTGAGAACCCAAACTTGCCTTTTGGATTATTCTGATGTAGAACCAGGGCGAGGCAAAGACGTCACCGCCATCTTGTCAGAGGAAGGAAAGGAGAGCCAGCGACCAATCAGAAGCCGGGCTCATCCTGCCAGGAACAGGAAGAAGCGACGACTGAATGACCTGGAGAGTGACAGCACGGCGGCGGAGAGTGAAGACGAGTTCATGCTCAGTAACAGGTACCACACGGACTTTTCTCCCTGGGAGGCCTCTCCTCTATTCTTTCTGCCAGTCTGACTTATTTATTCTCCTCCTCTTCCTCTTCCAGCTCAGAGGACGAGGATTTCGGTGCATCAGGGGCAGACGACGATGAGGAGGAAGATGAAGATGCAGGCAGTGACGTGGGCAGCTGGGACGGCGGGACTTGCCCCACACGGACTTTAAGAGGGGCGCCTAAACTCCGACCCAGCAGGACCCAGCGCCGGGGCAGGAAACGACTGAGACGGCGGAGACACTCCTCTGAGGAAGATAGCGAGAAAGAGATGGGTGAGTGCATGACCAGTGGAAACGGCCACAGGCCCAGTGTTTTCATATGACAGTCGTAGAGTTGATTGAATGTTTGTACATTTCTGTTGTCGTGTTCTGTTGACTGAGTGTCTGTGGGTTTTTCACTTGTGGAACCAGAGAATATTTTGGCACTGTTGCTTGATAAATGACAATGTTATCTGTAATTCATTCTCTCCCCTTCAGACTCGGATCAGTTGAGTGACATGAGTGACTGTGACAAAAAGAGGCGGGGTCTGAGGAGGGGCCAGCGCCAGCAAGTCAACTACCGTGAGACGTCCGAGTCATCAGACAACTCCTTGGCCTCCGCCGACAGGACCAAGGTTAAACCCCGCGGCAGACCACGTAAAGAGCGTCTCTCCAGCGACTACAGTGATGGTTAGTCACCACCTACACCTGCAGCATCGTCTCAAATCACAGAGGAGCCAGTAGAAACCACAAGCTGCTGGGTTTTACTGAACCAAGGTTCCTTTTTAACTTTAGCTTTTGCAAAGGAGCCTTGGTGAGACACCGGCATTAACGTTACAAACAATAAAACACATATAGTAGAATACAAAGACCATACAACAATATATAAAATCTTCAATAAACTACAAAGACAGTTGAAGCTACTCTACCTAAGCTGACACTGGGTGAGAGGCGGGGTTCACCCTGGACAGGTCTCCAGTCTGTCACAGGGCTGACATGTAGACAGACAACCACACACACTCCTACGGGGAGTTTAGAGTCACCAATCAACCTGAGCTGCATGTCTTTGGACTGTGGGAGGAAGCTGGAGAGAACCCACGCAGGCACAGGGAGAACATGGAGACTCTGCACAGACAGGCCCAGGGTCGGCCGGGGCTCGAACCCGGAACCTTCTTGCTGTGAAGCAACAATGCTTGAATAAATACATGAATACCAGAAATTGGATCTGTAGTGGCTTCTCGTGTATTTTATCAAATTCATTTCCTCTGGTGGGCATTTTCTTGTTGTCTTTGGTCAGGAAGTGATTTTGTCAAGTGTACCTCAGCAGGATCACCAGCAAAGATTTACTCACTCAACAAATCTGTCCTCTTTCTTTTTCTTTCAGCATCACCTTCTTCCAGAGACTCTGAGGATGATGACGATTATGGATACGAAGAGGAAGATGACCCAAGACGGAGAGTGAGCAGGAGGAGAAGAGTGGAACAAGACCTCCGGAGAAACAGGACAAGAGGGAAGCAGAGGAGAAATGAAGATGATGAGGACGACGGTGGAACTGAGAGGAGACTGTCAGAGAAGGAGGAGGACAAAGACAGGCGGAGAAGGATAAAGAGGACGCACAGAGAAGAGGAGGACTTGGAGAACATGGGCAGAGGGAAGAGGAGAGAGATCCTGTCGCAGCAGCGGCGCAGACGCCTCGCTCAGATGCTGAAGAAACGCCGGCCTTCGACGGACGATGAGGAAGATTCAGAGGAGTCATCATCAGAGGAGGACAGGCCAGTCCGCAAAAGACTCAACCGCATCGACTCTGATGATGAAGATGAGGAGGAAGAGCAGGGACGTCAAAAGGCTAAAAAGCCTTCAGCGACAGAGAGGAGGGCCAACAGTGATGCTCAGGAAAAGGGGAGGGGCCATAGCCTGTCTCCGTCAAACGGACATCGGACCTCCAGGGGATCCATGAAGCCTGGGGCTGGAAATCCTGCTGTGCCCAGGGACAGAGCAGGATCAGCCAGGCAGGGCAGGCACAACGGGCCCTCGCATCTAGAGGAGCAGGAGAATGAAGAAGAAGAGGAGGTGGAGGATGAGGAGGAGGAGGACGAAGAGGAAGAGGAGGAGGAGGAGGAGGAGGGGCAGACAGACTCATCGGACTCTGTCCAGAACAGTCCACAGTCGTGATGGCTGTGTGAACAACACTCGCTTGTTAGTTTCAGTTTTTCTTCGACCTGTCAGGCCTTTCACCCACAGACACCTGGAGATCGGACCTCTCTCTCTCCTCCACCTCCCCCTCTTCGCCCTCCTGCTCCCCCGTCTTGCGCTTCCTCCTCGCTGTTGTATCGTGGTAGAGTGCCATCTGTTTGTCACAGCAGAAACTCAGTCATCGTCACAGCCAGCTGGACCAAATCATCTCATCGCAGGACTGGCTGCACTTCCTGTTTCGGTGGACACGCAGCTGGAGGTTATTGTGACCCAAACTCTCAGCGTGTTTCCGGTGGGTCCACGAGGCAGGACGGTGGTAGATTCATCCCATCGGGGCCTCTGTAGTGTGCCTCATCCTAAAGCACCTGATCCTTGTCTTAGCACTTAACACCCTGCCACCACAGAGTGCGAGTGTCAAACCGAACACCTGACCTGACGCTTAGAGAGACTGATTGGATCCCCTGGTTTCTCACGTCTCCCCATGAGGATGTTTGGTTTGTCCATTTCTGGCGTTTTGTCTTTCTGCCTCCAGCACAGTGGAAGTGAACTGAGCTGTGTTTGTGGTCTTCACCGGTGCAGTTTCAGTGTTTTCATCGTTATGTTCCTGTACTGAAATATTACCCAGCAGCCTGTGGGTTAAGGTGTTCACCCACAAACTATCCACAGTTTGACTCCCAGATGAGGGACATTTGGCACACGTCATATTCCCCCGCTCCCAAACGCTGACTGTTTAAAAAAAATGAATCCACAAAGTCAGTTGTCAGAGCTTTTATCGCTCCACGTGTTGCCTCCCAGATGACGGACATTTGGCACACGTCATATTCCCCGCTCCCAAACGCTGACTGTTTAAAAAAAATGAATCCACAAAGTCAGTTGTCAGAGCTTTTAAATTGTTAGCGCAGCGAGCAACACAAACTAAACAAGGATTCACTTCCATTGTATTGTGGCAGAACAGACGGACGATTCCGATCCTTCCAATCGTACCTGGGTGAATGGACCTTTAGTCGAGACGACCCAGAAGACGGCCCCATTCTTTCTCACTACAATGAAGTGGCGAAAGCAGTGATGTTTACATTAGTCAGGTCCCAGTTCAGGAGCAGGATCCACTCTGGGACTGGACTCCAGAAGGTGGTCCCGCTGATCCCGCTCCTCTTCTTCAGATGTACAGAGAGTAAAACAGTAGTGGTGCGTTCAGGTGCTCCTCGTCAGCTAGTGGAGTCAGAGATTTGCCCTCAAACAGCCGACAGGAGTCAATACCAGTGATAAACTGGTAATCTTCCAGCACCAGCTGCGATGGGCCACTGTCAAACTACGGACCATGCAGAACAGATCAGTTGACTAATCATTCATTAAAGTAATCTGCAGCAATTCTGACAAGAAAATGCCAGGCAGTCTTCTGTGACGGCTTCTCAATCCTTTTCCTCTCCACTGTGAGAGCCAGAATATTTTTAGTTTTTGAAGTGATCAGAAAAAATGAAGTGTAATGACGTCACTGTAGGATTTAGGAAGTGTTGATGTGCGTTTCTCACTGTTTTTTGGCATTTTATAGTTTAATTCAACAATGACAAATCATGAAAAATAACCTGGCCGGCCACGTGTCAAACAGCTGATGCAGTTCACAGTGGGTACAGTTTCAGCACGCGTCCCGATCCAGGCAGTGAAATATTTGGTCTCTACATGCAGAGTTGGGAGGATGCAGCCCGTCAGCTAAACTCAATCTTCCAGTTGCTTAAACTAGAATAAGGTGTGAAGAAACATCTTCAGGACACGGGTCCTCTGCTGGACCGCTGTGGATCCGGGACGGTCTCTCTGAGCGTCAGTGTTCGGTTTCACGCTGCTGTGTTAGCAGGAACACGTTTGCTGTACATACTCTGCCTGTTCACTGTAAGATAATAGATGTTCTGTTCTTAGTCCTCTTGTAAAATATAGTGTTCTATTTTCTATGAGAAGGAGAGATGCTGCTGTGGGTGACGCGTGGATTGACGGGGTCTCACCTGCGCCGTTGATCAGTGTGAAATAAGACCAGCGTGGAGCCCGTTGGCCTGTTAAGGTCACCGAGTCGGTTCTGCTCCCTCTCAGCCCCGAGTCGGACACTGTCGGAGGTTTTTAATGTTTCGTACCCGTGAGGGAACCCAGGAGTTTTTAAGAAGGAACAAAGCTTTATTTTTTGATTGAGACTCAGGGGAGGGAAATGAATGTTGATCACTCATCAAACAACTGGCACCTTTGTTTTTGTCTAGCAGCCTTCTCCGCCTCTGAACAAGCATCGCTGTGGGGATTTCTGTTCGTCTGGTGAAGGAGCTCGAGTGGCAGCTGAGGGTTGAGTCTGGTTGTTGAGCAGAGTGGAAGAATTCCTTTAACTTCATTCGGTCAAATCACTGTTTAGTCTTTAAATGAGTTTGATCCTGCTGTTCACATAGGCCGAGCTGTGACCGGGGGGAGGCCTGGACATCGTGTTGAAGTTATGGATGGATGACGTCCCGAGTCTGGGCCAGTTCATGTTAAAACATAACACATTTATCAAAGTGCAAGTCGTTACTCATGTCTGCTCGGCGGAGGGGTCACTCTACAGCCACAACGCTGTCCTCACATTTAGCTCAGCCACATTTTTCCTGGCAGAGATACAGTAGCCTGCCTATTGGGCCCACTACATTTAATAACAGTCTGATGGACAAGTCACTGGAAACTGACCAAACCAAACCGGTCCATCAGAACAAACACGGTGATGAGTTAAAATCCACACTGACACCAAAAAGCCTGCAGAGCGACTGCGGTGATGTCATTCCTCAGAAACATCAGATGCAAACCGCAGACCAACGCCTCCATATTCAGAAATACAGCTAATGTGTTGTTCCCCCTGTTTTTCTTAAGTTCAGGTCCTGTGAAGTTTTATCAAGAGCTTTTATCTTCGAGGTTGTGAGCCAGAGCAGCAGTGAAGGGTTTTTATTTTAACCTTCACTTTAGTCCTTACATCACTTTTAGCAGTTTTCGAGGTGTCGAGACAGGAGATCCTCTGATTCACAGTTTCTCTGTAGCACCGTTCTGTCTGAGTCACAACATTTTAATGAGTCCCAGCCCCCACACCGAACAACAGCATCTGATGACGACAAAATGTTTGAAGTGTAGTTTTAATTGTTGTTACATGCACAGTTTACGCATCCGCAAAGCTGGTTTTAAAGCCTCCAGGACCAAGAAAAGTGCAGCTGTCGTTGGAGCAGTGCTGCCAAAAGTTTCAGACAGTCACAGGATTGTTTCTGTTTGACTTCAGGATGTCACAGAACCAGTGACTCACTGATTCATTTGATGGTTTTTATACAGTAGAAACTGGTCATGATTCCCTTTTAGGAAGTGTGTGCAGGGTTTGTGGTCCCATCTCTTAATGTCACACATCAGGTACAGGAGCGTTTTTATAACCACCTCTGTCAATAAATAAAAAGAAATGATTTTTATGAAAAAGTGAAGATTCATGTAAAGAGAGACAAATCAGGATGGTTCAGTTACAATCGGTCCTTTCCTTCCAGTTTAAAATGTGAATTATTGCTGCCTGGACGCACCGAGCGCCTCATACAATCTGTCGAAGGTCAGCAGCTCAGAGTTCGTGTAGTTTACCAGTCGTCTTGTTCATTAAAAAACAAAAATCATGTCTGTGTGAGCCAGATGTTAAATTATGACAAAAAATATCTGAAAATGATGTAGACCAGTTGCATTTTGCATCAGTTTCTGCTTTAGAGAAGTCGCTTTGCTTTTGGTCACAAACACAAGAGTTGAACCATCAGTTTGCCAAAAGCACCCAGATGTTCTAAGATGTTGACTGTTAACGTCATCATGGGGCTGCTGGGACTCGCACACTGGTCCAGCTGTGCCCCAGTCTGATACATTTGGTCTCTCCCCAGCCAAGTGACCACATGTTGTTTCAGGTACTTTCCTGTGATGGTTCAGGTGTCGTAGGACTCAGATAAGGTAAACAGCTGCTCCGGCTGGTTTTCAGACTGCTTCACATCCCCTTCAGATACATGTCACAGTGCTTAGGAAAACCCCATTCATGCACAACTGCAGAGGCAGCGTCATTTCTGAGCTCAGCTGGATTCAGTGCTCATGAAAATGAGGATGGTAGCACCACTCAGCTTTACTCCAGGTTTTAGTAGTGTTCACTTTTTTCTAACCCAAGGTGTACTTCTTTTCTTTCCTCAATCACGCTGGAAAATTCTCCAGCACAGCATTTAATAAACCCCTCTGCTAACCACCACCACCTGTTTCAGCAGTAGCAGCAGCAGCCTGACGCGTTTACGGGCCCGGAGTCATTCTCTGAACCTGGTGTGTGTTCACTGTTCGTTGTCAGGCGTTCGGTCCAATTCACCTGGATTCAAACAAGCACCACTGGATGGCTCCTTCCACTTTCTCTGTTGTACTGTTACTGTAGAATCGCTGTATCACAGATGTTTTCTAAGTTATTAAAACCAACAGGCATCTTCCCAGAAACCTTGTCAGAGCCTCATTTTTGCTCCTAAAATGAATAGTTTGATAGAAATTTGCTTCCAGACCGGAAAAAGAGACGGATTCTCCTGCAGCAAACATTTCTGTTGTTTCTGCTACAAAAACACATCAGAAGTTAAATCCAGCTGACCACAGGACTACATCTGCCTACAGGTCACACAGAACAAGAGTTTTATCTTTGGCAAAGTATGACTTGTACTGTAAGGATGATTTCAAGGAGCATAAAAAGTCCAAATTGAATTTAAATCTTAATTCCTACATATAAGTGTAAATAAAATGAATGTCCCCTCCAAGAAATCAACATTTCATTAAATGTCTCTTCTATTTACATATTATTTATTACTTTTCATATTTAGATTTTGAAATTGTTGGTTTTATTTTCAAATCAAATCAAGATTTATATATCCAGCGCCTTTTATATGGGTACATACAGTTCAAAGTGCTTTACAGATAAATGAGGCAATTAACCAAATAATAATAATTCATAGCAATAATTTTCTGTCAAACAACTAATCAATCCATTTACTTTGGATAGTTTGCCAGAGTAATTTATAAAATGTATATATTTTATGCAGACATCTTAATTGTAAGTCAAGCAGTCACATATTTGGAGTTAAAACTAGAGTATCTCCTTCTGAAATGTGGTGGAGTAGAAGTATAAAGCCGCATTTAAAAATAGATTTTGAGTAAAGTATCCATGTTTGAAGCATACGGCTCACGGTAGCACCATATTCAGAGGGTGAATGTCCTCCTCTAGTGGACACAATGAGTAACTACACCTGCAGTTTTCTAGCGTGAAGTTACACAGATCTAAGAAATACTTCCGGTACTGTATGTCCAAGTAAAACGCTTAAATTACTGTTGTACTTAGTGTGTCCACAAGGGGCAGTGTAAACTCATGGTTTTAAATGATGAGCTTTTAAAAACGAATAAAGTTAGATTACAGAGTTTATAAATTACATAAAGACCTGAAGAAAAAGTATATTCGAGTTAATATCCTCAATCAGCTCATTAAACAATATCATATTATAAACACTATTTATTTTTCTCCCTTACTGTTCTTCTGCTGTTTATTTAAACTTCCCTTTTTTGTTGGATTGGATTTTTTACTTTATGATGTTTCAAAGATTTTTATTGTCAGTTCACCATATGTGCAGGACATACAGAAAATCGAAATATCGTTTCTTTCTCACCTAGTATTGAATGCCATACAATTTAGGAAACTGAAATAGAATAAAAGCAGAGTAAAAATAGACTAAAAGGAATTAGAAAACTAAGTCACTAAGTAAGTGATTAGGATAAAACTAAACGGTACAACCTAATAGGCTATGACTCAAACCATGTACAATCAGCGACAGAAGTGCAAATAAGAAGATTGTCAGATGGTTGTGAGATTGATGCACAAGTGCAAATGACCAACAGCAACAGATATGACGGTAAAAAACAGTCAGCAGCAGATTGACATGTACACTTACACTGCTATCATAATAAAATAGGAATTAGAAATCCATCTTGATTAAACAAATTTCCGCGGTACATCAGCAGGTGGAGGAACACCTTGGAAGGCGGAGGTCTGTGTTGGAAAGAAGAGGAATGAAAGTCAGTTGTAGTAAGACAGAATACATGTGTATGAATGAGAGGGAGGGAAGTGGAACAATGTGTGAGGAGTGTTGTGTGACAGAAGAGTGTCAGCAAGAATCAAAGGAAAGGTGTACAAGACAGTAGTGAGACCAGCTATGCTGTATGGGTTAGAGACTGTAGCAGTGAGGAAAAGACAAGAGGCAGAGATGGAGGTAGCAGAGATGAGGATGTTGAGGTTCTCTTTAGGAGTGACCAGGATGGACAGGATTAGGAATGAGCACATCAGAGGGACAGCTCAGGTCGGCTGTTTTGGGGACAAGGTCAGAGAGGCCAGATTGAGATGGTTTGGACATGTGCAGAGGAGGGGTAGTGGTTATATTGGTAGAAGGATGTTGGAGATGGAGCTGCCAGGCAAGAGGTCAAGAGGAAGGCCAAAGAGGAGATATATGGATGTGCTAAAAGAGGACATGAAGTTAATTGGGGTGAGAGTAGAGGATGCTGAGGATAGAGTTAGGTGGAAACAGATGATTCGCTGTGGCGACCTCTAACAGGAACAGCCGGAAGAAGAAGAAGAAGAAGAAGTCCTACTGGAGCACGGTGTCATTGAAGCCTCGAGTAATGAACCATCTGTGTGAATACTGTGTCGAAACTTCAACAAAGCTTCATCGTCCATCACTAGGTGTAAAGTTAGACGCATATCATAACACTTCCGCTTTCAAAATAATTTTTTTAAGCGTGGCCCTGAATGAAGAACTTACGTGTGGACGTAAAGAGGATGTCACGTGACCATTTTGCGTCGCTACGTTTCGCTTGGTGCTGTGGGTTTCCAGCTTCAACAACAGTTTATCTCGTGTATTTTGCCACTTTGAGCCACGTGTTTATTCTCTGAACGGCCCAGCTGGTTTCATTAGTCCCGGAGAAGACACAGACTCCAGGGCAGTTTATTTACCTCAAGCTGTGGAGGACTTGTTTTCTGATTAGTTACTTAACCCGGGTTAAATTAGCAAGCCTCGCACAGCTTCGTGTTGACGCCGGAGTCCGGGTTGCTTCCTTTCCGGCAGTCTCATCCAGCGGGTCTGCACACGTTAACGATGGTTCTACTTAAAAACCTCCGTCCTCCCACCGAGGGAGTGCGGCACGAGCAAGCCGAGACCACGGCGGTGATGGACGGCCAGATGTTGGGCTGCGGCAAGCTGTACGTCGCCGAAACGTAAGTGGTGCACGTGGCGCCTGTTTCAGGTGGAGGTGAGAGTGCGTGGTGACCACAGACACGCAGCTTTATTACACCAACACACGAGTCAGAAAGAGTGACAACTGATAAAATCGGTCCATGACACCACACCTCTATTGATGTGCACTTCCGGAGCAGACATTTCAAAATAATAAGCAACCAATTGGTTAGTTTAAAAAACAAAACAAAAGAAAGCATTCTCCAGTGTTGCATGGAGTCGCGGATAAATCGATTAGTTGATTTGCAAAATTGATTGGCAACTATTTTGATGGTTGATTAATCGTTTTATAAACAAACACGCTGCCGATATTCTCACGTGTGAGGGCCAGTGATTCGATAATGAAAAACATTTTGCAGCTTCCAGCTTGTCAAATGTGAGGATTTTATGAGGTTCCCCCTGGAAATACTCAACAGTAATAAATATTAAACTTTTGTGGGGGTCTTGGTGGACCAAGACCACCCTCTCCGTGTGCTTCCTGCCACTGTCAAACAATTCTTTGAAGACAAAACACCTTTAAATGTATCTTACAACATGTGTCCAGCTGCCAGTGGCTCTGCAGCTTGAACTTGACCAACAATAACCAGCTGTGTGTGTGTGTGTGTGTGTGTGTGTGTTTTCTTTTTCTCAGGCGTCTGTTGTGGTTCGATAACTCTGGAATGGGTTTTTCTCTGGAATATCCCACCATCGGCCTGCACGCCATCTCCAGAGATGTCAGCGCGTACCCACAGGAACATCTGTATGTCATGGTCAACGGCAAACTCGGCGGTGAGGGGAACTCAAAGTATAAAACTTGCATTTGTTGTTACTGTAGATCCAGGAGGGTGGAAGACTCACATTTGGCATCTGCACTCTTAGTTTTTGGCTGATATTTGTCATTAAACAAGGGCGGGTTTGTTTAGTGCCACCACATACAGATCAGTACTAAAGGCTTCTTCATCCAGGGCGTCAGTCGCACACCCTACACACGATAAAGTCTCTAGTTTTAAATTTTGAGATGATGAGAAATCTGCCTGACCCATATATTTCAGAAAGTATTTGCTTTTTGTTGAAGATCTATTTTGAACTGGGTGAACTGGTTTCTGACCGGTTCGTTTTCACCTTCATTCGTCCCAGATGAGAACGAGTCAGATATGGCAGAGAAAGAAGCTGGCGACGACGACGACAGCAGTAGTAGCAGCAGCAGCGGTGGTGATGATGGTGAAGAAGGGCCGATCACAGAGATTCGGTTTGTGCCCAGTGACAAGACGGCATGTGAGTGATCACATGATGCTGGCTGACATGTTCCTTCATCACCGTAAACACACACCCTGTGGTTTATTCTGACTCGGTCCCTCAGTCACTATCCTGCTGCCACAAATACTCACTAGAGAATAAATATGGATTCATCCACTGCAGAAAATAGTCCCCAGCAAATGCCCTGTTTCCTCTTGTTTGCAAAAAAAAAAAACTACTGAGCTTTAAGAAATGAAACTAAATACTTTTGAAGTGTATATGTTTGTTTTATCAATGTGCTCGGAGCCAGAAGATGAGGTGGGACATCAGAAAGTGTGGAGAGAGAGTGAAACAGTTTTGGTTTTGGCCTGTTCAGGAGATTTGATAGAAAAATGTATATTATTGCCAGTAGCTAAATACTTTTAAATTCATTTGTTGGCTCAAAGCTGAGTTCACACACACACACACACACACACACACACACACACACACACACGTGCAGGTTTATTAACATAAAAATAAAATGATGAGCATTAGTTCTGAAGTATTTTTTTACTCAAGAAATTTGACACAGTGACTGTTGACACTGGTAATTAGAGTTGGAGGCGGCGCTGCCTCTAGTGCACCAGCTCATTTGTGTGTGTGTGTTGTACTTTCAGTGGAGCTGATGTTCACAGCGATGTGTGAGTGCCAGGCTCTGCACCCCGACCCAGAGGATGACGACTCCGACAACGACTTCGAAGGAGACGAGTATGATGTGGAGGAGGCTGGTGAGGAAAACATATACACAACAACAAATCCCTGAGCGCACACAGGCGACCGGCTGGGGGCAGCTGGTGTCAGACAAATTAACATTTGCCAGTCTGTCCAGAAACATTCTGGTATCAGTGCTCACTCAGCTTTGCTAGAAACACACAGTTGATCCAAAACCAATGTAGAATATACACAACCTCAGCAAATTGTTAGAGTGGGCAGTTGCAGACGTGGGAGTAGTAGTCCACACAATTCTAAGCACAAAATAGTGAAGACTTGGAAAGAAAATAAACAGATGTAGCAAAAAACAGTTCAGGCTAAAAATGTTCAAAGGATGAGGTCAAGTCTCGACTTCAGTTTTTCATTTGTGGTTTATCCAGTAAGTCTAATGGAAAGATTTGACCGTGGTTTTCAGCTTGGAGATGTTTTGTCTGATGAGACCGAAGCTGTTTATCTCACAGATTTAGATGGTTACGTTGTGGAGATACAGGTTTTCACCAGACAGTGTGACTATGAAATGTTGACTCGTGTGTTTTCTGCTTCTCTCCCTGGTTTTCTGGGCTCTGACGCTGCAGAGGCAGGTAAGATGTCCGACACTCCTCACTGCACATTTACACAACGCCTTCTGTTGAACATTTTACTTTAGGAGTACAGAGCACGTTCACTCCAATTATTTTAACAGTCAGCGTATCCAAAGTTGGCACTGAGCGCTTCTTCAGATTTGTAGGCTTTATGGCTGGAGGTGGCGCAGCTGATGTCGTCATCCTGATGTGGGTTTGTTTTCTTTCTCACTGTTTTGTGCACAGTCACAGGAACATGCATGTCTTTCTCAACCAACACCAAACTTTTGTTCCTCGTTTATTTATCTACATTTATCTAATATTTAATATTAGTTTACTATAATGTAACATGTAAATCGCAGTTTGATCTGTTGTGGTAATGTTAAGTTTAAAAAAAAAACAAAAAGAATTTGTGACTTGTAGCCACAGTGTGAACTGACTTCTCCTTAACACAGCCGTGCGCCCTGCACACATGAACCGGAAACGGTCGCACTAGTGCTGCTCTGTACATTTTAATTTAGATGCATGTATTGTTTCATGTTAAGAGAGAGGTTCTATGAAATGTGCCAAAACAAACGAAAGACATAATGTGATAAACAGGCCTACAGAGCATCTTGAGCCACTCGGCGTGAGGGCCGCGGCCCCGTGGGGTGCTCTGTATGTGTGTAGAATTACATCCAAGTGCGTTTAGCTCTTATAAATGCTATTTACTGGGTACAAGTAAAACGTTTCCAAATGTTGACACCAAGAACATGACCAGAGAGGCTTTTGTTTCCCCACCACCCAGAGCACGGTCACGCTGATGTCCCAACTTTCTACACTTGTGATGAAGGCCTGTCGGCACTCACGCAGGAGGGCCAGGCCACACTGGAGAGGCTGGAGGGCATGTTGGCCCAGTCGGTGTCTCAGCAGTACCACATGGCCGGGGTCAGAACGGAAGGAAGCAGCGCTGAGTTGGAAGGTTTGCCTCACAGCCACACAGCAGCCTGGGGACTGTTTTAGTTGTTGCTGATGCAGCATAGAAACAAATCATCCCATTTACAATGGCACGTTTAAAGCCTTGACATCAACAAACGGAGGCGGTGCAGTTGTCCAGTTGTCTTCACACAAGTGGTGCATGTTTGGTTGTGATTGCAGTGAATAGTCCTGCCCCAGAGAAACATTGTCCATTTCAAATTACATCTACAAGACAAAGTGTGCAGAAAGTGAAGGGGTCTAAGTACCATCTGAGAATACTTGTGAAAAATCACTATGTTGAGTAAATGGGCTAACGTGCTCCCTTCTATGTCGCACCTGCGTTATAGTGATGAAACAGTTTCTGCAGTTTACTGAAGAACAAAGCCTGTGCACAGCCTGCATCAGTTTGTACAGTCAGAGTGAGGGGGCAACTTCCAGAAAATTATTTAAAATTTGTGACGTACAATAACTATAGGTGATGCCATACTTTCCAGACTATAAGCCGCTACTTTTGTCTCTTCATGCACACACCCTCATCATGGAAAACACACGATGAAATGCATATGATGCTGCTTCAAGTTACAGTTGATCGATCTGGCTGTCGAAATATCTCATGTTACAACGTGGACACCGCGGCCCACTGTAGTGGGTGTGGTTTATAGTTTGGAAATTACTGTATGTTGGTGGTGTTTTGCACAAATATGCATCATGAGATTTACAGCATTTTTCAAGCTGTTGGTCTGAGCGTGTTTGTCGCTGACAGATGGTATGGAGGTAGACGCTGCAGCGATGGAGGCCGGTCAGTTTGAGGATGCAGACGTCGAGCACTGGTAAGT